AAAACCTTAAAGCATTACATTTTAGAAGAGTATTTTAAGTCTGTTTGCCTTGAAACCCTAAATTTGGACATTTTATAAAAACTTCTTAATGGCCATAAGTACCCAGCTGCATAATTCTGTTTTCCTGGATCGTATGGTGCATAACCTCTTAAACTAGTTGCTTCAGTGTTTGAGAAGGCAAGTGCCCAATGTCCCTTTGAGAATCTGGCCAACGTTAATTCTTCCTGTGTGCCTTTAGGAGGCAACATTAAGGGTCAGAAAAGGGTCCTTTCTTGGAGTTCTGAGCACTCCATAGGAAATTTCCACACATTGTGGTGTTATTTTATTACTTTTTATTGCAGACTTTCATTATGATAACCTTAATTAGAAGCATTTCCAAGTAATTCAAACCATTTTGTAGATATAAAGGGCTTAGATTTCAGAACATTTGTGAATGGATTCCAAAGTCACTGTTGTTGCTGGGATCCATAGAAGCCGAACAGACTCTGGAATGTGAATCAGTTGGGAGGTGAGCCTTTAAAGAAAGCCAGAATGTTTCCCAAACGGAAAATCTGGTCAGAGGTGAGAATTGGCTGGTTTTAGATCTTATTGAAAACATGAAACATGGCAGACTCAGTAAAATTTTTCCTTTTTACATAGTCTCTTATTAAAGGCCACATTTTTATTATTTGAAAGATTTGCCACTGGTAGAAATATAAAGAAAAAATATTAATAAAAGTTATTTATTGAGCACATATTACGTGTAAGATCTGGTACCAGGATTATACTAGGGTTGCTCTGGTACTTAGGCACACACAGGAGGTAGGCATTCTCACTTTTGTCAAATGAACATACAGGGTTGGAAAGGCGAAGTGTCTTACCTAGCAGAGCTGGGACTCAACTGTAATCTTTTTTCTTTTATGATTTTTTAAAAATTAAATTTATTGGGGTGGGATCTTCCTGATTTACTCTCCTCACTGTGTATCTTAGGTATTTTAGTTGACTTTTAAATGATTAATTAAAAATGAAACTAAAATGAGTTTAGATTGAAATCACATCTGAATTCTAAACACAGTATACCTTTCAGGCCTCCATGTATTTGCTTGTCTAATTGTTTGTTTGCTTATTCACTTGCAGTCTCACACTCTCTCTTTAAATGTCCCTTTCAACTGGAACTTTTCCTGATTTCTTTGTGGTTTCTTCAGTTTTCATAGCACTTAATCTTATTTTATTATGTTAATTATATTGTCTACTCCTCCAGCAACACACAAGTGGGTAGGATTTCATCTTTCTCATCTTAGAATCATCATTGCTTAATAGAGTGTAATAATGGTAACTACTCAGCAAATCTGTATTGAATACTTAGAGTTCAATAATAGCATTAAGTATTAATATGTTTAATAATTAATGCAAAGTCAAGGCCTTAATAAGGGATAATATACTCTGCAGTGGTGTGGAGGGGCAAATCCTTCTCTGTCTTCTGCAAAATCCTTCTAAAACCCTAAAATATTACATATTTGTATTCATTTCTGATTTTGTTACTGGGCACAAAAATATCAAGCAAAAATAGTACTGTTAATTTTGAGTAATTAATATAGTAATTAGAATAGTTAGTTTTAGAAAATTTAATAATGAAGTTTTGGGAACTGGTTTTTTGTTGTAAGGGTGAAAACATTCTTCATGGGCATTTTATTACTATCTTTTTTTACCCTCCACCTCAGGGCATTTTTTTTTTCTTTTTCATTACTTCTGGGGGTGGGGGAGAAACATCAGTGTGAGAGGGAAACATGGATCAGTTGCCTCTGTATGAGCCCCAAGAGGAAATAGAACCCGCAACCCAGGCATGTGCCTTGACTGGGAGTTCAACCCGCAGCCTTTGGGTTTATGGGACAACACTGCAACCAAGCCACACTGGCCAGGGTACCTTATTTCCTGATTATTTCTTAGGGGGTAGAACAGCGTTAAATGAGTAAGGTGGCCAACATTGAAATGGGTCTTAAAAATGTAATAGTAGAATATTGGGATGTAGGCAGTTAAGTATGTTTCTTCACTGGTCTTGAGATTCTTACAGTAGAATTGTTTGTTTAGGTTCAATGCACAGCTTTCCAGAGTTGTGTGACATTAATTAGCACATCAACGTGGGTCATGTTGCTCTGTCTCGGCCAATCAAAACCAGACATGAGGTAGCTGTACCTAAATGGAGGGAGACATTCTATAGATTCAGTATGCAAAGCACATGCTGAAAAGTGGCCCGAACTGCTGATCCCTCATCAGCGTGGCTAGAGCCCAGCTTGGGAACACGGAGTGCATGGATGGAATTGAGGATGAGAAAGGGCTTGCACCTCATCTGATGGACATTTTAGACAGGGATTCACCCTGAAATGGTGATGACAGGAACCAGATTTTGTTCTCAGTGAACATAATCTTTAACTAAAGGAAGAAGAGTTTTATTTTTGGTATTCATCAACTCTGAAAGATTTTTGAGTAAAATAAAAAAAAAAGATTTAAACATAAGGATGCTTCAAATGCATAAGGATATTTGGTAGCTATTAGTTACTCTTAGCCAGGGAAAAACTACCCTTACGCGTACATGGAATTTTGGTTTTATATATTCTCGGTTTTTATCTTGAAGTCCCGTAGTGGAAACTTTAGACTCAGGCATTTGCGGTTTTCTTAAAAGAGGCTTTTAACCTAGTTTTGGTCACCTGTATTACATTTTGCTTCTTTTTTTCCCCCCATTTAAGTTAATGCTATATTTTTATTCTTAGCAAACAGCAGCTCTTTTTGTAATAAAATCTCTTTATTCTAGGCAGTATGCAATTAGAGGGAATAGAAATGTACAATTTTTACAAGCTGCCATTGTATTTTCTTTATAGCCCTTACCACTGTGTGTAAACGCTTTATTTTTTTAAACGATCCCCTCAACCCTATCCCATGCGAGTTGCATTTATCAGCTGGAAGTGGGCAAATTTTCGTCTAAGGCTCCATTCCCAATGCCTAGAGGAATGCCTGACCCACTCTGAGCACCCATTAATATGTGTTTAATTAAGACCAACATGTAGTCATTCTTCTGAAGACCCCAATTTCATAAAATACAGGTATTGATCTCTTGAATATATATGTTTTCAGCAGGCAGTTGTGTAATTTCAATATATAAAAATGTCCTCTTTGGTTCATCTGATTTCTTTTTCTTTGGTTGCCTACTAATCCATTCCTGTCTTTTTTGTTAATGACAGATGACTTTCAGGAAGCACAGAAACTTAAGATGCAATCTTCCGAGGAGTCATGTTTTATTTTCCTTACTGTTGGGCCATAAGAAATGGCATCTAATGATTGTGATCATTTAGTGGTTAGCTCATTGCTTCTTCCGAGGATTCTAAGGGAATTCAACATCTTGACAAAGACTTTATGAGAATAAGTCCTGTGCTATATAAAAACACCTGTTGTTGGTTGTGGGATTCCTTTCCACCTAATGCTGTAGTGGTAGTGAGGGGTTCTGGCCCGGGGGGGAGGGGTGAGCATAAATTTCTTAGAAAAGAGCATGTGTCCTCAGTCTTTGGTGACATGCCTCTGACCCAGTTAAGTGCTTGTTCTTCTTATAGCTATTATTGAAGTATTTCCATAGAGAATTGACTCTGTGAGGCCTACCTGTATCGGGGCCGGGGGGCCACTATATGGAGAAGAGAAGAGTATGCATTTTGGCCAGTCAGGGGTGGAGTCCAGTACTAGCTCAGTGCTTTTGTAGTTTTGAGACTTTAGACAAGTTACTTATCCTCTTTAAGTCTCAGTTTCCCTATCCATAAAATCCGGTGAGTAATACCTTCCTGGCAGGACCATACAGTTTTAATAATTAATAGCTATTTATAGAATCATTGTAGGAAAAACAACTATTAAAAGGAGTTGATAAGCCTGAATTCGAGAGATGAAAAGATAGATCTCTTGACGCGGACAGCTTTTGAACCTTCCATCTTTTGAGGAATTCAGAGTATTAAAAGTTTTAGGACATTGGCGTATTCTTGCCTTCTTGCTTTAAACGGATTGAGTCCTGAAACCCAGGAAGAAACAAAACAAGAACATTTGTCCTGTTAGTGGTGTTGACCGAGGAAGAGTTTTATGTGCCATGCATATCCTGTGCCTTGACCCAGTGTGTAAGCACCTTTGCAGGCTTCCTGCTCTTGCGTGTTCTTTTTCTGCCAGTTTTGGATTCAGGCTTCAAGTAGGACAAGTGAGCAGGTCCAGTAGTTTTTTATTTTACCTGCTCACATTTTAAATCTTGGGATATGTGTGCGCGCGCACATGCGCGTGCGTGTTACTACCACAAAGATAATTATTGGTCATCTGTAGCTCATTTTCTTAACTGGAGAAAAGAGAGACAATGAATGATGTGTTGCTTGAGGTCATCTGTGGTCTGTGGTATAGAGACCAGGGTGTCAAAGGTGTATCTTGTTGGATGGTTCGCGTCCTGCAGGCGCCCTGGGGGGAGCTCTCCAGGTTTTCTCTGAGTTTGAGAATATGGAAGTGGGGGGGTGGGGCAGGGGAGGGAATATGAGAGAGAGAGATGAAAAAGGTGTTACTATTCCTCTCATGTAATCAGAGGTCACTTTTTAAAAGTTACTAGATATTCCTGGATAGAAGAATCCTTCTTAGATGGAACTGTTCTGCAGCTTTTAGGTCATATCACTTTTTCCACTAAAGGTATTTGTTGGATGATCATAAATGCTGGCTTCACATGAGAAGTGTTCGTTTACACATGAAACACCTAAGACTGAAACAGGCCTCACAAAGAGTGGCAAGTTGAAAAAAGCTCCAAAAGTGAAATGGCATCTCTCCTATCAGAATGGCAGTGATTGTTTAATCAGGTGCTGGTAATTTTTTATTTGAGGCATTAATTAGGTATTTGCCTTCAGGATTAGTCTTAGATACTGTTGATCTACTGGTTAATCAACCACTCCAAATTTAAATTGCAAAAGTAGTTTACATTTTCCTCTTCTATTAAGTAAGAAACAGATTTAGACTTTTTTTTTTTAGTAAGAATATCACTGCATTTATTTTCATACAGGTAATTTTTCTACTACTACAACATTTTCCTTTCAAAAAATAAAAGAATCCCAAAGCTTAGAACTGGATCACTTGGCCCTTTCTCTTCTTATCTCCTCCCAGTTCAAAATGCTTGCATCTCTTAATGGCCAGCATCCTCTTGGATCTGCAGTTAAGCTCAACACATTCAAGCCTCAGCACAATCTTCTCTGTCGTTTTAGCCTTCTTTCGAAAAATCGACTTCGTCTGCCCGCCGTAGCCACTCTGCTTCCAATTATAGCGCTGTTTCCCCTGGGCGTACAGGGAATCCTTGCCCTTCTTATACTGGGTCACTTTGTGAGGCTGATGCTTTCCACACTTCTTACAGAATGTCCTTTGGGTTTTAGGACCATCTTTGCAGTAAAGCTGTTGAGAAACTCAGCGTCCATACTCTTCCCCTCGCTCCGCTTGTGCCTAACAGGAAAGCTAGACTTACTTTTAAGGAAAGGTGTTACACCTGTTTCAGTTGTCTTGCTGGGTAAAGCTTTCCCAGGATGCTGTTTTAGCCTTTTGATCAATTATATTAATCCCACCTCTCATTTGATTGTTTCTTAAGACTTTGGAAGAATGGTCACTAATTTTTCATTAAGCCTTGATAAACTGCCTTTGGTGATTTTGAGCGCCTTGGTTCATGTAGCACTAACAGATTTGAAACAGAGCTGATGAAGCAATAGTAGCCTGAAGTATGCTCTTAAAATTTGGTTGACATGGTTCTATTTTAACATCTATGGGGCAAAAGTTTATCAGTGTTTAAGATCTTTGTCTTTCCCCCCCCCTTCTCTGACAAGACACAGAATGCAGCATGAGTTGTTTTAATGCTGACTTTGGAAAAGCAGGACATGCTTATTTGAGTGGACAAAAAAACATGATGAGGTTTGGACAGTGATGTTATGTTTCACATTCTGTATTTAAAAGATCTTAAAACAGTTATGTCTGCTTTGTGGCTAGAGAAAGGAGGAGGGGAGGAGGAAGACAAGGGGGCAGGGTGAAGCGGGGAGAGAGAGAGGCGCTTGTATGATACAAAAGGTGAAGTGCCAGGGAGCCTGCCAGGGTGTGAGTCATGCTCCTCAAGGCTCCGTGATGCAAGGCCCTCTGCCGCCTTCTCATTCATGTCTGGTGTCAGCGACAGATCAGTGGGCTGGGGTGTGTCAAATTTTTATTTTTATCTTTCCTTTATTGACAGTGAAAACTGCAAAGAGGTCAGTCTGCTTCACTAAAGCAAAATGGTTTTATTTAAAATATGTCAGTGCCAAGATGAATATGGTTGGCTCAAATAATGACTTTGGCTCTTACTAAGAAAAATTGATATTGGGACACAGGAGATTTGCCTGGTTTCTGAGGAAACTTCATAGATTATAATCTGGTTGCCATAGCAACCCAGCAGCCAGGAACATTACAGGAACTAAACATTTGAAGGGAGGTCTTTTAGTATGATCCTTAAAAGCCCTTTACCTATACTTTTTTCTCTCTGACGAATTGGGATGGGGTTCTGGAATTGGGCTCATCAGAAGCGAGAGGAAAGCATAAATGCCTTTTGGTGGGTGGATGCTTCTGGGCCATTCTTTGAACTTGGCCTGGTATCAGTGACTACTAAGGAACCATTGCAGACACTTTTTATGCAGTATAATAAGCCCATAATGTGACAGAATCTGGAATACACCTTGATTCAGCAATCTCTTTTCTTGCCTGGGACTTTAGATAATGCTGGTGAGTTGTATTTCTAGAACCAGCATTCAGGACCCGTCTGACAGTGTGGAGTGTGGAGGAAGAGTATATGAATTTGGGATTATCGAAGAGTATCTGGGACATAGCCTTGGTGTCCAATGATTTTTTTCCCCAACTAATTAATTCTACAGGCATAAACAGGGTCTGGCACAAATAATGCCTTGATTTTATTACAGAATTGTAAGCATGTAATTGTGTAACATAACAATATCACACTCAATTACACCATATGACATTTTAAGTGAAATGTTCAAATTAAAACTATAAATTATTATACCCATATTAACACCCGACCAACCACACGCAAACAGGCCTTACTTCTGCTAGACCCTGTATTATAGGACTATCCCTAGAGGTGTGGACACAAAGTAGGTAGTTTCTGCTGTATTACAACAATGGTAGACTTGGTCTATGGACTTTTAAAAACACATGGGTAATTTTCTTTATTGGAATATTGTTTCATTCCATTGTAGTCATGTTCAATGTTTATATAAAAATAAAGTTAAAACTGTTTTCATTTTAGGAATGACTTTAAAATCTCAGTTTCAAGAAAGCAGTGGAAATGTTTTAATCAGTTTATAGACATCAAGGGATTTCCTTTTGAGTTTTTGAAATGGTGAGAGTTTTGAATACTGAAGATGGAAAAATTATTGACATAGAATGGTACAGAGAAAATAGACCTCCTTAAAGTAACTAATACAATTCAAGATAATGAGAAAGCAACAGCGATGAAGTTGGGACTACTTTTTTTGCTGAATGGTCCTGTTTTCTCCAGTTAATGTAATCTCAATACATTTTCAAAACAAATAAGTTATGGTACATACAGTAAATAAAGTAGACTTTGTAAATTGCATGTAAAATGCTTTCTTTAAGCTTAGTTTCTAAGTTAAACAATTATTTGCAATGGTCTTTTTTATGTTTTACAACTTGCATTTGTTCACTAAAAGTAGTTATCAAGCACTTATTCTATGTCAGGCACAGCTTTGAACACTTATTCTGTGCTAAATCTTGTGCTTTTAGAGCCTAGATTAAAGAACAACAGGCACTAATATAATTGTTTAATTAATTGCCATAGCAAATTCTAGGAAGGAGATGTGGAGGGTTTTTTTTTTTTTTTTTCTCCTTTTTTAAAGAACATATTGTTGGGGTCCTGACCTTTCTTGAGAGTCAGATGGCACTTTTTATGCCCCCAAGGATCACAAGTCGGCCTTCGCTGGTTGGGGAAACCCTAAGGCAGGTAGTGGCAGAGAGGGAGGGGTACGGGAAGGACATTGTAGATGCAGGGGACGTGTGTTGATGGCTTCAAGGTAGGGAGGAATGAAGCTTGCTCCAAGAACTGTAAGATGAATGTCACTGACACCTTGTCAATTTCTAGAAATATATAGTAAGTAATTCCAACTAATTAATTCTACAGGCATATACAGGGTCCGGCACAGATAACGCCCCTATTTTATTACAGAATCTTTTATTGCAAAATCATAAATCAAAAATTATTTTATTAGTGTCAACTTTGCCCATGATGATTTTTAAGTACAGTTTTTAAGTTTGGATTACATTCTTTAATTTGTATTTGCATATAAATTAGTGATTTTTCCTCTTTTATCTAAAGGACCTAAATTAGATTAGAACTAAAACCTGAGGCTCTTGAAAGAAATACTGTGCCATTGCCGTGCATGGTCAAGTCTTTTGGAGGTTGTCATATTGATGTTCATATGACTAAAACACTGACATTTAGGTAATAGATTTAAAAATCTCAGTGTTTGGTGGGACCTATTTGAATATTTTAAAATTTTGTACTATTCATTATTATTTCCAGATCCTATCCACAGATACTTTTTTTCTGAACATTTTTAAAATAAATTGCTTCCTGTTGTTACACAGTAGAATCATATAGCCCATGTCAGTAACAGACACTTGGAAATAGTATGCAATAGGCCAGAACCTCATTTCTCTGTGCTATTTTCCTTTATAAGTATGGCTTCTGGTCTTTTTTCTTTTTCTGCTGTCATTTCTAAATCAGTGAAAGAGCAAAATGAGAAAGTATCATAAAATTGAGTTTTTTAGTTACATAACATTATAAGCAACACTGGAGAATTCACTTAGCTATATTCAAAGGCCTATACTAAAAAAAAAACAAAAACAAAAAACAAAGGCATATACTTACTGCCCCCCGCCCCCCGACTTTGAACCAGGTCTAAGACATGTCCTAGTTTGTGTTTATACAAAATTTTGTGCCACATATTTCCTGTCTAGTAGATGAATTTAGTAATAAAACTGTTGAAGAAAAATCCCAGATATTATCATATTAAATTGAAATTGATGTGTTAATTTGGCAGGTTATTCTCGTTCAAGTTAATCCAGGTGAGACATTTACAATAAGAGCGGAGGACGGAACACTTCAGTGCATTCAAGGTAAGAAGTTTTATGGAAGCCTTCTAATCAAAGGGGTTTTCCTTTATTAAATTAAGAAAGTGAAATTTTTCTCTGTGTCTGCCTATGATATTTTAGAAATAAAATTTATCTTGGATGTTTTTTTCCCTTTTCTGTCTGTCAAATAGGGACTCCTTAATACTGATATAGGTCTCTGATGTATAAGGGACAAAGTTAAATTTCTCTAATATCTATTGACTTTTAAGTGAATTAATTTAACTTGGGAAAGCAGAGGCTTCATATATTATGGACTTTGGTAGACCTGAAAAATGCAGAGATTTTAAAAGATCCTAAAATTCCGATTGAGGACTTTTTCAAATTAGATAAAAGTTTCAAATACATATTGTGCTGCTGTCCAAATGATGTTTTTAGAGGTAAAATCTGTATTAACTGTTAGCTAATTATTAACAGATACATATTAACAGATTACTCCCACATTTGGTGGCTTAAAACAACCATTTATTATCTTACAGTTTCTGTGGGTCAGGAATTTGGGCGCGGCCCAGCTGTGTCCTGTGGCCCCAGGCCTCTCAACACTAAAACTGAGGTGTGGGCTGGAGCTGCAGTCATTACAAGGCATGTCTGAGGGGCAGTCTGTTTTCAGCCTCGCTCAAGTGGTGGTTGGCAGGATTTAGTGTCCTGCTATGTGGCCTCACTCTGGGGGCACTTAGATTATTGCTGCTGGCTTCATCATAGTAGCAGCTGGACGCCGAGAGGGAGAACTTAGACCCAGCCCACTCAAGCAAGGGGGTCACACAAGGTGTGAGTCTCAGCAGGCCGGAGTCTTCGGGGCCATCCTAGAGAGCTGTCTACCACAGGCTGCAACCCCTCCACCCCAATAATCCATGTTCCTCTCATCTGCAAAATACCCCCTCCCAAGAATTCCAGTTCTAGCATTGTAATTACTCCGTTATAGCATCAGCTCAGAGTCCAGACTTTTGTCATCTAAATGAGTTCTAGGTGTGGTTGAGGCTCCGTGGGTGGTGGTCTCTAAAAGTGTACAGCTCATAGAGCATTTCAGTTAATGGCTAGTTTGTATACCAGTGCCTCCTCTCTGCAGTTCACTTTGGAAAGGAGTGACTTAGGTACCCTGATCCATATGTAGTTCTGTGCATATGTAGTTCTGTATAGGAAGATCAATCCAGATCTGGGTCAGCCTGTAAACACTGCTGTGTTGGAGAGCACTGTTTGTGATAGCTGTTTGTGGCAGGGATTGGACTTCTGGTAAATTGACATGTAGTTGAGTTTAGTACTAGGTTATTGATTAGACTGGAATCTGATGATAGATAGGGCTTATATTTTAATACCTGGACTTGCTTACCAATATATTAACAAATAAGGGGAAATGCCCTTTATTTTGTTTTTCTATAATGAGCTGCATGAATCATATTGGGTTAAGATATCCAGGAATATTTTCTATTGCTTTGCATAATAGAGCATGCTGCTTTGTAAGTTCACTACTTGTTTTTGTACCTATATGAATACAAATTTAGGAATTAACTATTTTTTTGAGAAATGCGTGTATTTTCAAAGATTCAAGCCTAATAAGTTTTAATTGCAGTTAATTTGAAATGACCTAACCATTTTGTCAGTGGTTTTTACTGATTACATTGTTCTGACCATTGTGTCACTGAAATTCATCTGTGGTGCCCTAAACCATTTAAAAACCAAAACTAGTTTTTGTAGGTAAATCATACAAAGAAACTTCAGGTTAAAGAAGAGAGGAAATGATTATTTTTAATTAGTGTGGGATGTAAAATCTTCTCTTTCTTTCTACTACTTCAATAAATGGATATTATAAAAAAATAAAACTCAGACTCCACTCTGTATCTTTAAAAAACTCACACCAGACAGACTAGATGAAAACTCACTTCACTTGTTAGAATGAAACTGTGTTTTCAGTTCAGTAAAAAAGCAGTTAAGCCTGTGGGCATGGTATCATCGGAACCTCATGAA